GGCGTGTCTGACACGCTCTTGGCCGGTTTTTTTTTGAGTTGTGTTTTGATGGTATCTCATATCTTTACATTATAAGGCTTTTTGATCTCACATCATTCATATACCTAGGTACATGTAATCTAAAAGTGCTTTAGAAGTTTTATGGTCCGTCGAATGAGTAACAGATTTAAGGGAATTGAATGATTTTATGAAATATTGAATGTTTATTTAATGACTGTTTGGGTCCTTAACACACAGGTTTCAAATGTACCTAATCCAAAATATCGTTGTTTTGGGCGTCGAAATTGGCCTGAACTGTTTCGAGAGAAACAATTTTATTTAATTTAATCATTTATTGTAGGTACCTACACAAAAACAAATACAGGACAAATACAAAAATAAAAATGGGTACAGCAGGCACTACTTATTTCTAACATGAATTTTTCTTACAGGCCTACTAAACTGAGATAGCATTCATGAGTAGAGCAACATGGTACCTATGGCTTTTTACTCAACTTGGCGGGGACATAACCGTGCCCGTAGATTCAAAATGATCCGGCACATCATAATCTAGCTTTAAGTATAAAAGCAATCATGAGAAGAATTACATCTTAAACATTTATGAAGGCGCACAAGCAGTTTCTTACTAACCTACTGCATTTTCCAATGATCTACTTTCCATTGCAAAACATACATTAAATCTAATTATTTTCAAAATTCCTTTCGTCACGTTAGAGTTAAGGATATGGTGGATCATTTGGCATACTTTTATGAAACTATATGTCAGCCATTTTGTACCTACTGGACATCAAACTTGGCATGTTTTAACTACTTTTAAAAATTTAACTTGGTTTTTTTCTAAGAGGGCAACTGAAATCTATTAAAACGATATATTTTTGAAATCGTCTCGTCTAGCCTTTTCATTTGATACCCCACACGATGGGCTCCAGAAGAATTATTTTTTTAGTGCCATACAAAAAAACGGAGGTCCGCCATCTTGAAATCCAGTGGATGGATTTTTCATTTCCTCGGATGGAATCATTCACAATGGTCCCTAGTATCACTGAGCAAAGCGGCATCATCTGTGCCGGCAAAACAGCTTTCGGGTGATATTTGACCGTACCCGCTTAGACAATTTGCTAGATGAAAAGATAAAAGCTCACCAAACTCATATTCAGCTTTCATTATATAAATTTTCTGTAGCGCCACTTTGCTAAAGCTTTCTACACGCAACCAATTCTACGTTTCATCCGATCATTACAGCACAGTGCAAATCGCTCGGCGAACAATAGCTTCGGTCTGTCGTCGGGTTAATAATACGAAACAAAACCAGACATTAGCTTTACCTACTGATGCTTATGCGAGTGCCAACCAATGGCCAACCAGAATAAACAGAGGTATATTACTGCAATATCCATTGATTTTCTTTTAAAACAATTGAGCACCTCGGTAAAAGAGAACAGGCAATGTAATTCGAAAAACGGACACTAAATTGGTCCGAATTCATGAATGACCTTGTGAATTGAAGAAAGACCTTTTTTATCGCATTTCACTTCGTTTAGGTAACTAAGAGATTATTTGCGGTAATTTGCTAACTATTTAAAATTATAATTGGGCATGATTGTTAAATTAATAATCATAAAAGAAGAGCTGTCTGTCAGCAAACGTAAATCTATCTATCTTGTTTTGATCAAACTCGCATACCCACATTATTTGTTTTATAATTTCCACCGATTGACCTACATAACTGAAACTTTGCTGATCGAGTAGTGATTTGAACAATGTATTTTGTTTGCTATACTTTAGAAATAGCGCTGATATTTCGGTCAGTGCACTCATTCTTATTCAAGACTGTTAAAATGCAATAATTCTTCACAAAACATTTCTCTAAGACAAGTGAACAAACAAAAGATAAAATAAATAGTTGCCTACGTACGCCAACCGCTCCAACATAGTGCGGATAATTTTCTTTCCAAGAAACCTTTAAATAGGTGCACTAGATTTGTGTCTGTCTGTCTGTCCGCGAATCGGGACTTACTGCCATCCCACGTGATAGATAAACTTACACAAAGTCTTTTGTTCTGTTTTATAGACTGACATGACAACAAAAGAGACATTATTTTCTCCCCTTTTGTTCTGTCTTTTCATCTTGAACTAGATTTTTGGACACAGTCACTGCACCCTTGATATTTAATGCTTTTACGCTGAACTACTTAGTAAAGGGAGAGACGAAAATGTATATTTGCAATATAAGTAGGCAAGCTGTTTCGCTTTCGATTTTGGCTCTTCAGGTAACGAAGTGACCTTACGACAATTGCAGTTTACCGATTGCTTCGCTTGGGTACAAGAAGTTTATCGTAGAGGACGAACTCATACCGAGTTGTCGTAAGACACTTACGAGACCGATGTCTCGCAGATTCTCGCCGTGGTCCGTATGGACGCAGTTTCAAACTTAATATTTTAGTTTACAAAGATCATGGAAATCAAGAACACTCTCCCAAAAATGTCTTTCTGGTCCAGTTCATAATTACCTACCTTCGTCAATCTTTAGTTTGGTTTAGACGTAAAAGAAAAACAAACAAACATACATATGTCCTCCTTAAAATATTTATGAATGGAAAGCAGTCATTTGGTATTTTCCAGATTGTTCCGTTCCAGTTTTGGGTGTTTTTCCGTCAACAGACCACAATTTTCCTCAGGAAAAGTTATTTTATTTTAAAATAAATAAGATACTTACTTACTAAATCTAGTCATGTTATTTCTTAGAACTCTTCTGGAAACTGGTAGTAAACTTTGCGAGAAATGTTTTAGTCAGTGTCTCGTTTTCCTTATTGTCAGCTATTTTATGTGATCTGTGCTTGAATTTTTGTAGAGTGTGGGTTGCGGTCATTAATTATGACGTTTCATGGTTCAATTATGACACAAAAGAATCAAAGGTAATTAAATGTAATTGGATTGTAATGGCAAAAATCAGAGAACTAGGTACCTTAAATGGTGCCGATGATTCTAAACGTTTAACTTAGGTATTCCGGAAATCAAGGCAGTTATGAGGACTGCTAAGTTTAGAGCACATATCGATGGAGATGTGTGGACCATTTTATCTAACGTTGTTATATTAACTGTTAAATATTTTTTCTTTACTTCCATGGCCGTGACCGTCGTATTTTTGCTATCACCTTGGTGTCACGTCAAGTCTTGCGAAATTGTATGAAACAAATTCGGAAAACCTTGAGTGATCAACCCTGACCGAGACGTCTATTTTTCTTCGAAATTTAAATAAAGTATTACTTTTATAAAGGAGTGGAAAAGAGGAATGAATCATAAATTATGACGCGTTGTCATCTCTCCAATCATGTTATTTTTTTGTGGTCGAGTAGAGGTCAGTCTATCTACATTTTCAACTTTAAGTTTTCAAGTCTCTCACATGTTTTAGTGTCAGTTTTCATGGTCTGTTAACATTAACTCTGTCTAAATATAAGTGTACCGGAAACAGTAAACGCAGGTGTACCTTCAGCCATTCTGTGGGACATCATTTCCGCTGAAAAGGTAGAATACATCCAGTGCAACAGCTGCAAAGTCTTTCATACAAAGTTCATCCCTAGAAATAATCATATTTAAAAAATTAAAAGAGTATATTGTATGAAAGGTCTTCATTGAAACCATGTAAAAAAAGTATTGCTATAATTCTACCTTTTTAATGTCGGCGAGACATCAAGATTGTACAAAATAATTAGATGTTTTATTTTAAATTAGACATCCTCTCCAAGTAATAATAATAATACAGTAAGCTTCGCTTGCACAAACGTTCCTATGGTCTCCTCTGTATCACTCGTTGACAAGCTGACGTTTCCGGTCATTGGGTGAATGGATGACTGCTAAGCTGTTTAAGGGTGAGAATCCACCAGAGCTGTGCGAGTAAAATGTGTCGTACGAGGATGTGTAGCTGTGCTGTGGAAATGTGTAGGGGCTTCCACCAGAGCTGTGCGAGTAAAATGTGTCGTACGAGGATGCGTAGCGGAGCTGTCAAAATGCGCATTAATGTGCGGAGCGAGGATGCGTTGCGAAGCTGTGAAATGTGTGAGCGGGGGGGAATGCGATGTAATAGAAACCTCGCAACATATTCCTAGCAGCACATTTCTCGCAACACATTCCTCGCTACACATTCGTCGCAACACATCCTTCGCACACATTTCTCGCTTGTTTTGTATGTAGAATGGCCTCGCTTCGCTCAACCCTATTCCACCAGAGCTGAGCTAAGCGAGGCTAGGAAAATGAAGTGATTCTGTTGGTGGATTTTTTCCTCGCACACCGCTTAGCTACCTCGCACAGCTCTGGTGGATTCTCACCCTAAGATTGGTTTTAGATAATGCATTTTTAGCTGCTGGAATGGGAATTTATAAACATGATGTTTCAATGAAACAAAAACAAACAACACCCTTGTACATTTGTACAACTGTCTTCACAATCCACCATGTCAATCAGTGAGACACAAGGCCGAATAATTTATTCCTTTTGCTCTAACACCCCGACCTCACACGTCGTCAAGCGCACTAAAGCGCATGGTGATCAAAGCACGCGCATATTTGCTTTGCAACTTGCGCGTGATCAATCCGTCCTCGCGCGATTGAAGTTCGCAAGAGGCGCCGTATTGTCCTAAAGTTATGAGACCTCAATATGTGGAAGTAAAGAAATCAAAGTAAATGGGGTTGCTTGTGATATAACGGCACATCATTTTATATGCTACATTTGCGTACATGGCTGCAATAAGAGCTGTTATGAAAAAAATAACTATATCAAAGCTTATGTTTTATTCTTTAAAGCAACCGTATTTCGGTCTCATTTATGATCCATACTATACTCCGGGTAAGGGGGAAGTGACTTTTTCATCTGCAGATTTTCCATGGATGCTCTCCATGCCGTGTCGACCTCGGTTACTGACTTACTGAATTGCATTCCAAAGTTTTAAAAAGCAAGTGCGTTAGTGGTCAAATGCACTTGCTTAATTCGCGGGCTTGGAGTGAGCCGCTGTAGCCCAGTTGGTAGAGGCTTCGCCAGTACAGATGGCAAAAGTCGCTGGTTCAAATCCAGCCTGCGGTAAAAAAAAATCAAGAGTTCCTAGACTTACTGAATATTTTACTTAGGTATATTAGGAAACTCTAACACCGAAGTCCAATAATTTAGTGAGCGTTTTTTAGATGGTGGAAAAATTACGCCAATATTTCAATGATTCTAGGTTTTACAATGCTTGATCATATTCATGGTTCATTAGTCTAGAATCAAAGAATCAGGACCAGACTGTCGAGGATGGTAATATTTATGAGGCGATAATGTTAGTTCAAAGCTGTAATTTTCTTTTGTAAAAAACTGTGATTTATGAACAAAACGTAAATCTAGTTTCCTTACTACTATTTCGACTTTGAACTTGATCTGTTTGACGAAAGGAAAACTACTGAAAAAATCGTTGATTTTAACGAGTTCATTAGAACTGATGAACGGCTGTTTTTTACCTACTTCGTGCACAAAAATGAATGAAAGGTCGAAGATTGGTAATCTTGTCTAGTCTTTGTCTTCCTGTCTATTGTAAGTGTAGGTAAGTACAATGTTATCAAAAGGAAAACTACTGAAAAAATCGTTGATTTTAACGAGTTCATTAGAACTGACGAACGGCTGTTTTTTACCTAGCATGCACAGAAATGAATTAAAGGTCAAAGATTGGTCATCTAGTCTTTGTCTTCTCATCTATAGTAAGTATGATAGATTTCGTTATCAACTTGCTACTGAAAAAGATGAGTCACAAATTTTTGCAACGTGTGCTCTAGCTCTTTAGGGCCTTAACTAAAGAGGCTCACATAGGCTAGGTGCTGCTTCCATGACTTAAATTTTTTTGTACAGATAAACACGTAATTTATTGACAATCTGCTACCAATAAGAAGTACCTACACAGACTGAATCTCTAATTTTTTTTTCATTTTCATTTATTTATTTAATTACAAAACAATAGATACAAGTATACATAAAAGTGTCGTTAAACCCGATTGGGTTTGACAACAACACATCACTTCACTTAACAATATAAACAAACATATTTTAAGCATAAAATCCTAGGATCTCCCATCCTTTTCACACCAGTACCAAATAAGTTACAATAAAAAACAACTATTATTAAGATATCGACTGCGTGCGGACGCTCCACCCGTGCAAACTGGTTTTGTTGCTAAATCTATACAGGGTGACCGAACGCGGCAGCAGTAAACAACAATTTTAAAAGGCAAGATAAGTTATTTCCTGCTTTAATACTTTTGCACAATTTTGGGGAGTTATTTTGTTTTTAACGTCTAAAGGTAGCTTATTCATTAGGTCGGGAACAATATAGTCCGATATTCTTTTACCATAAAAATTATTAGAGCGTGGTTTATACAATATAATATTATTAGTGTTATATCTAGTGGATCTGTTAACTGTTATGGGTCGCAGGATATTGTCATTAAAAAACTGTTCTTTTAATATACTATGTCTAAATTTTAACTTAATAGGTAAAACTCCACAAAAACTGAATAATTCACTATCCGTACAAAGTTTATTTTTGATTTTGTTAGGCACTATTAGTTTTAAAATTCTTACTTGTAATTTATAAATTTCGTTCAAATAAGTATCGAAGGTACGACCATAACTGCTTAGACCATAAGATATGACACTTTCGGCTAGAGCATTATACATAGTAAGTTTGACTGAATACGGTATAAAACTTCGCTAATATAGCCCGAAGCTTATTACAAATTTGTTCTATGTGAACCCCCCAATTGAACCTATTGTCAATGATTAAGCCAAGGTACTTTTGACTGCTGACTTCTTCAAGTGACGGACAACTACAAGTGTACGTTCCATTATAATTCGAATTCACATGTAAACAATGATGGGTGTGGGCTATTATAGCCAAATTGTCTTCTGAAATGTTATGACTCGAGCTTATGTGTAACAATTTGGTTTTATCGGCGTTGAGTACAAGGCCAGCATCGTGAGACCATCGACAGACATTAACAAAGTCGTACTGTAGATTTTTTGATGCTACATGTACGTCATTAGCTGCAGATATGAGACATGTATCGTCAGCGTATTGATAAACCGTACAGTAACGTATGATGTTGTTGATGTCATTAACATAGGCAAGGTAGTGTAACGGCCCTAAAACAGAGCCTTGTGCCGTTCCTACATCAACATGCATCTTTTCACTAAGAGATGAACCCACTTTAACTTGATATGTTCTATCGGTAAGGTAACTACTGCACAGTTCTAATAGAGGTCCACGTACGCCAGAATCATCCAATTTTTGTAACAGTACATCATGTCGAAGTGTGTCAAACGCTTTGCTATAGTCGATGAAGACAATAAGCACGTGTAATTTATTATTTAGATAACCGTTAATCTCATCTGAAAATTTACTTAAAAGTTGAGATGTACTTTTATTTGGTTGAAACCCGTACTGGTTGTTAGACAAGATGTCATTTTCGTGATAAAACTTGTGTATGTTATTACTAAAGTATTTTTCAACCACTTTGTCAACAACAGGAAGAATGGTTATCGGCCGGTACTTTGAAGAATCTTTACTATCTCCGCCTTTAAATATAGGTCTTACTAAACCCTTTTTCAGCTCATCTGGATAGATACCCTTGGCAAGGCTAGTATTAATTATTTTAACAATAACATTACAAATTTTGTCCGCAACATATTTAATGTCTATCGTTCTAATCCCATCACAACCTGGTGCCTTTTTGTTACTGAGTTTCGTAATTATTTTATGGATATCTTTAGATGTGGCTTTTGGACATAAAAACGACCTATCACAAGCAGATCTATAAATTTTTTCGTCAAGCATTTTAATGCCACACTTTGGTACAATATTTTCAACATTTTCTTTAAACTGATTAGCAATACTCTTTTCATTAACATATGTATCAAATGCCTTTTTGATAATAGAATCTATTGATTTAGTAATTTTGCCAGATATTTGATTTAATAACTCCCACAATTTTAACATATTATCACTGTTTTTTAGTATCATAGATTTATAGTATTTGTTTCTGCTGTTTTCTATTAATTTATGGGTTTTGTTCCTCTGCTTATTATATTCGATCCGAACTATTTTATTATTGGTATCTTTTTTCCATTCAATGAATAATTCATCTCTTTTTTCGCATTCCAACTGCACTTTCCTACTTATCCATGGGTCCGTACTTCTTGAACTAGTACTTTGTCTCTTTAAATACTGCGATTTTTTATAACATTCTTGCAAATTCATATTTAATGAGTTGTATATCTTATTTGGCGCCCCAGTGTACACATCTTGTAAGCGTGATCGAGTAAATATGTGATCTATGCAGGATTTCGTAACTACACCTTTCCTTAATTCAATACGCGTGTAATCAGTGATCCCGCTTACAAGACCGTGTCCGTATAATGTGTTAATGTATGACCTCATGACGGAGTCGGTACAGTTTAGTGGAATGTTAATATCACCTAGTAAAATAAAATCTATTCCTGGCGTTAGTGACAGTGTTTTTGATAGCTCGTTCACAAAGTTATATTTGTTTGAGTTTGGAGGCCTATACACCGCACACAGACCCAGCGTAAAGTTATAAGATGTGGTTAATCTGCCGGTTATACCTTCAAAGTTAGAAAAAGTTGATTTAATTATATTAAATTTGTTTTTTTAAGACATACAGTATAATACCACCTCCTTTTTTGTTTTTTCTAAGTTGTGTGTGCATTGCATAGTTCTCCAAATTATAAAGGTAGCTTATTTGACTCGAAATATTTGCCTCCGTTAGCACAATAACATCTATACTCGTTTTACAAAGGTTAATTACTTGTTGGAGCACACTAAAGTTTTTATGTGTAGACCGTATATTTACATGGATACAAATTAATTTCGAACTGTTTTGGAAGGGTAGGCAATTACAAAAATTATTAATATCAGTACAATCAAACAATTCAACTACGTTGTTATCTATAAAATCCGTGTTAGCCATTGTTAAAAGTACGATATTATTTCAAGTTAGAAAGTAGACTTGGGTAGGTATTAATTAATTAGTATTTATCAATGATGAAATATCAGTTTCTTTACGAATCCAGTAGATCTTTGAGTTTTCCGATTTCCTAACGAAAACTTTACCGTATTTACACCAGATATATTTGTAGGTACTTTTTAGCTCGTGTTTGGCTTTTCCCAGTAGAAATTTGTTTCGGTTAGTGAGGGCCTCGCGTACAAATACCTTTTCGTCATCGAATTCACCTTCTAAGTTGGGAAGAACGTTTTTAATTGATATATTGGCAGCTCGCGCCGCGGTTACCCATCGTAATACATCTTCTTTGCATCTCAGCTCTACTAGTATAGGAGCCAACTTGCCCTTGCGGTTCGATAGTCGCTTAGCTGTTAATACTTCCTTCTCGGCGTCATCAGTTTGCAGTAACTTACCGACTTCTTGAGCAATTTTTAATGGATTTTCGGTCTCTGTGGTTGGCAAGTTTGCAATCTCAATACATTTTGATAGCTGAGTTTGCTCTGTGATTTCTAGTCTTTGTTCATAAGACGCAATTTTTGTGTCCAGGTGGGTAATTTGGTTCTTGAGAGAAGTTTGTTTCCGTTCCAAGTCTTTGATCTTAACGGAGTAGATATCAATAGTCTCCTGGAAATCATCTATTTTCTTACTATTAAATTCTACTGATGTAATAACGGACGCCAGTTCCTTCATCACGATTTTGTGTATTTCCTTAGAAATCTTATCTAAAATCTTCTTAACTACAGGATCATGTTCCTGTTCATTTTCGTTCTCATCATCATCACTTTCTGCGGGATAGGACTTCTTTCTAGAGGTTGACATGCGACAGTCGTTGCATACCCAGTCTAGCATCTCGGCAGCACGTAAGGCAACAAGCTGCTTGGTGGTCAGCCCACTGCATGCAGTGCTATCATGGACCACTATTTCACACATGCTGCACTCTATTCCCGGGAGCTTTTTAGTGAGATTTTTAGAACACTTTGAACACTTTTTCATGATGAGGGTAGATGCCGGAGATCTCTAGTACACAATCTATACACT